TTTGGGAAGAGAACATTTGTCACATTGAGTGTTAGGAAATACATCCCAGCACTCTACTCAGACAGTTGATATCATCTTCTGAGATGCTCATAACTGTAAATAGCATCAGACAGATTAAACTTTCTTTAATACCTTACTGTTGCTTTGCACTTCAAAGGTAAAATGAAGCCCTGGCAAAAAAATGTATGAGCAAAAGAAATCTTTGAAAAGATACATATAAACTTTTCAACAAGATACTTTGTGGTTTTATTTACATTTTATTTTAATTGAATTGGAACCAAACTGTTACTGCATCCAGGAAACTGCAAGAATTCAAGTCTTTAAAGAAAATTGCTAAAAAGCAAAGACTTTAAAAGTACTTGCAGTTTCTTCCTATACCTTCTTCCTTCATTGTATAGAAATACTGATAATTTGTAAGGTGTCATCCTCTGTTTCTGCGTGGAGGATAAATCTTCGATGCATGCTCAATAAATTGAATCCTTGAGATAAATGTTAAGGAAATTTTTTTTAAGGATTAATTTCTTTACAAAAATTGGAAATGTGTACAAAAAAAAGGTCTGATAATATACTTGACTGCATTCTCTTTACTCTCCAGAGTGTACAAACCCTTTCACTAAAGGAGCAATACATAAATATATAGTATGGAATTATAGGTTGTTCAGGTGTCAGTTTGAAACACACTGCTAATACTATTCTCATACTTCTCAGTGATTATTCTTTTTATCTAGTCTATATTTTTTTGTCATGTGCATGTCACCAACCAGAAAAAAATAGTCCAGTACATTCAGCGTTATAGCTAAACTGTTAAGCTTGGCCAAAACAGACTGAGCTGCCTAGCTGAAGTACCCTGATTCTTATCCAGCAGCTGTTTTGTTTAAGTTATTTCTCATTTTGAAAGACCTGATGAGCCAGAAGTAAGCCCTCATTGAACAATCCTGCCTAGTTGTTCCTTGGCACAGTTGCAGAATTTTATTTGCTCTGGAGTCTCTATCCCACATTCTGCCCTTCCTCACTGCGATTCTTGAGGCTTTTCTTAATATTTTAGATTTCTTTCCTTATTGCATCTGAATTATAGGAGGTGTCTGCTTAGATTTGTGAAAAGAGAGGACCAAAGCAGTCTCAAGTAGTGTGGCTGCAAAGACTGTTTATCCCCCATCCTCTCATTGACTGTTGATTCATTTAGGCATTTCTGTGTGCTGCCCTAGTACAATGAAGAACGTCTCCCAGAAAAAAGAAAGACACTTCAGATCCTTCTAAAATTGAAATACGTCACCAAACTGGACCTTCTTACATAAGCCTTTCCACAGAGAAGAGGATTGTATTACTGTGTTAGGTTCTAGTTTGCTGAAGACCCAGGATTACTACTTTTGCCTAGAACAAAGAGCCCCTCTTATATTTTTTTAAATTTTCCTGAGCTGCCACCATGGTAAGACTCAGGCCATGGAGACTGTCTCAGATCCATGCATTGTAAAAGTTCAGTATATGATATTAATATGGTAATAGTAATTTCTTTGTTGTTTGTATTGAAATTTATAAAGGAAGCCAATCTTTAGAATGCCATATCCTCTGCAAAACCACAATTCCTCGTCTTGATGAGTTTCCCAGTTGCTTCTGGAAAGACTGTATTTAAGACATACCATCAAGGAAGTAACTTTTCAATGATTAATTATTAATATTGGGGTTTTAATTATTAGTATTTTATTAATATTTTTAATGGTTAATATTCTTAATTGTTCAAGAAGCATGTTAGTCTTACCATGTACTCGCATTTTAGTGATTCTGGAAGTTACAAATATCTGTCATTTAAGGTATTGTTTTTGCAGAGAATTATTTTCTCTTTTGGCTAGTTTACAAGAGCCTGAAAAGGAATATTGGCATATACATTCTTTGATAATCCTCAAAACATCTGCAAGTCTGAACATTTGCTCTGCTTTCCTATCCTAAGTCAATGTCTAATGCCACCAAAGCCTTGTACTGAAACGAGGGTAGCAACCAGTAATTTCATTAAGTCCAGGAGGCTTTTAAACATGAGCAGTTAAACTTTCAAGACTGGTAATGCCTCTAGAGCATAAAACAGTTTGTAAAGCTATGAATTTCATGGTGAATTAATGCATCCTCTTTAAACTCAAGTGCAAGGCATGTCCTGTGGGAGAAGTGCTTCAGTGCTTGTATAATAGATGTTATCAATGGAATTGCATTTCAAAATTAGTCTCATTTTCCCAAAATGTTTTCTTGGTGATATTGCAGATTGATAGATATCTTTTCAGTTCGGGATTTTTTTAAACACTGTTTTTTTTTAAGAAATAAATGAAACCTGGAAATGGGATTTCTCGTTTCTCTCTGATTGGTGCTACTGCTCTTGAAGGTGCAGTGTTCCTACTGTCCAGGGTTGTGAGACAAGGAAGCTCCCAAACTTTCCCATGAGTTAGAATTTAATTACTAGTAATGTCCATTTCATGTCCTTCTTTGTGGAGAACCTTGGATTTTAATAAATGTAAATGTCTGTGAATAGTTCTGAATTGTGACATGATGAGGAGAACTGAGGCCAGAAAGCCAGAGGGGGAGGCTGATTTGTCAATCTTTTTGCATACATATATTCTTCATAATGTGTCACAGCTGTAAGGCTGTGCTTAGGCAAGAATCAGTTGTATGTGTGATTGTAGAGTATTTTACCAGTCCAGTGTTTGAGCATTAATTTCTGTCCCCAAAGAGTGGCAAGGTGGAATAATAAACCTCAGAGAGAAAGGTCCCTTGGGCTATGTTGATGAACTACCATGTATGTTTTGTCTTATTAAAGGAGTGTGTTTTTAAAAGATGTGCAGCCCATGATATGAGTGGTAAATTACCTCATAAAATTAACAATGATATTTAGTAGAATGATTAGTGAATACCCACTTTTGTCTAATGGATAACCAGGGGTTTTTTTTTGGTTGGTTTTAGAGGGGCCCTGTGTAGCTTGTGAGGGAGGGTAGAATAATTCTGGTGAAAGTGGTTCATGCTCAGTATAAGCTATTGATGAGATCTGATTTTTCTAGGTGTTGCTGAAGGTGTTGTATCAATACAAGGAAAAGCAGTACATGGCTCCTAGAGTTCTGCAGCAAACACTGAATTACATCAATCAAGGAGTGTCACATGCAGTCACCTGGAAGAATCTGAAACCTCATATTCAAGTAAACATTTTTGGGTTTTAATATTTAGATGACTCAGTAGTATATTAATCTTTTGTACAGTGTTTCTAGCCTTGCTAGAATTCAAGTTTAAGGGACCTCTGGTATGAATTGCTGGTGCAAGGAGTTGAAGCCTGTTTGATGAAGCCTAGATAGGTGAACAAAGCTAGATAGTTGCCTTCTTTTCCTCTTAGTCCTTTGTGCTTTAATATCTTAAGGATTACAATGTCACAAAGCAACACAACACATTTGGAGATGGTGGTAACTACTGAATTTATGGCATTGAATCTCCATATACCATTATCCAAAGCAAATCTAATATCTGGAGCTGTATTGTAGCTCAGCTTTAAATGGTGGATTTTTTGAAAGGTAGCACAGAAAATCCACTGTGTCCAAGTAGTTTTAGAATGTAACTTTTATATAAGAAGTGGCAGGATGGACAAAAAACTGAAATACAGAACACAATACAGAGATGGATTTAGTAGTGCTAGCCTGTTTCAACTGTTTTTATTATTGCAGGGAATCATCCAAGATGTTATTTTTCCATTGATGTGCTATACAGATGCTGATGAAGAGCTTTGGCAAGAAGATCCCTATGAATATATTCGCATGAAATTTGGTGAGAATTTGAAATCTACTCGTTAAAATACAGCTTCACACAAGGGTGGGATTTTTTGTTTTGTGTGAAAATAGAAATTACTGAATTTTTGAAGGAAAAAAAAGAAACATTTGTGTTATCCAAATAATATAACACAGTTAACTTTTGGATATACTGGTGGAAATGACAAGTAACATATCATAGTCAACAATGGCACTGGTGTTTCTGCACTTGAATAAGTAGCTAATTTAGACAGAAAGTTTTTGTTATAAGTCAAACAGTCTAGGTCTTGCTGACAATAATTGCATAAGTTTAATGTTATTAAAATTTTATGCTTTTAAAGAGATAACATTTCAAGGCCCTTGATTTTTTGTGATCTTAACAAATTTCACACATGGCACAGCTCAGAGCAGATTTACCAGAATGATAAAGGAAATACAATGAAGTAAGCCCAGCATTCCAGACTTGGCTAATTTCACCTCCTATGCCTTGCTGCTTTGTTGTTGGATTTTATGTTAAGTCTATGCAGTCCTTTCAGGCTGGGGAGGCAAGAATATACTTCAGACTTCCTGAACTGACTTTTCCCTCCACTAGGATGGATAGAACAAGGAAACTTGATGAGTTTGGGAGTTTCTTATCCCTCAGGTCAGAGGCAGACCTGTAAACAAGTTTTATGCAAGTTTCTGGTTATGCTCTTCTGCAGAGCAATAAAAGACTGAGCATTTTTAACTCATAATCAGTTGTGTGTTTGCCTGTACAGCCAAAAACTGACGGCTGTGTCTGCTTGTACTGTTACACAACACTTAGCAGAAAAATAAGGAAGACTACAATTTTGTATTAGTTATGTAGAGCCAGACGAAACACACGTATTGGGAATTTCCAACCATGTGTTACTGCTGTTTAGTTTTAAAATACGGATAGTAAGAAAGCATGATTAACTATGTGTGCAAAAAAAATGTTGCTCTTTTGTATTAAATCATTAGATTGCATTAAGATCATGAACTGCAGTAATAGACAAAAATTAATGTCTGATACATGTTTACTTAATAGATGTGTTTGAAGACTTCATTTCTCCAACAACTGCTGCTCAGACATTGCTGTTTACATCATGTAGTAAAAGGAAAGAGGTAAGCTATTCAAGGACTTTACTTGAATAGAATGTTAGCTAGATTTAGTTGATAATGTCTCCATGTGCTGAAAGAACTATTACTACTAAAAGTTTCATATCATGGTACACAAAAATGTGTAATTTCTCTCAGGTTTATTTTCCACTGCTCCATTGGTGATTTTTGTATTTGCCACTTCACGTAGGGCATAAAACATCTAAATTCCAGACTTACCTCCAGGAGCAGATTATTAGAAATTTAAGCATTTCAGAGCACTGATAATGGTTCCTGAGATGATTGAAGTGTTTTGACTAACTTTACATGTGATCTAGGTCTTGCAGAAGACAATGGGCTTTTGTTATCAGATCCTTACGGAGCCAAATGCTGACCCTCGTAAGAAGGATGGTGCTTTACATATGATCGGTTCTTTGGCTGAAATTCTCCTAAAAGTAAGCAAGCATAACAAAACTGGCCTTTCTTTGGGTTCATTTTTATTTCCCTCCTTTCGTTTATTTCACATAAAGTGTCTTAGAAGAAATGAGAACAACACTTGGAGTTTACATGTTTCTGAATCACTGCCTGGAAGGAAGGAAAAAAAATCCATCTAGTGAGAGGATTATTTTTCTGTGTATATAAGAGTGAAAAGAAACTGAAATTAACAACCTTGCTTAGTTATTATGGTAGTGAAAAATATGCAAGGCATGGACTTGTTTTTGGACCATAGCTCTGAGAAGTTTCTCTGACCACTTTTGCTTTTGATACCAATGCCAATGCTTTTGATAATGCACTGCCAAGCAAAAAAATGTCAGGAAAAAATGTCACTATTTTGACTGGAGATTATGAAAGTGTAAGGATCCAAATGTAATTACTAATATGGGATTTCATTGTTGTTTAATGGACTTTAATAACAGGGGAAGTTAAAAGTCTGAGGATTTTGTTACATGGTTCACACTTTTAAATGTGACTTTTTACTGGATTAGAAATGCATTTTTATATAAAGTTTTAAACTGATGTTTCTATTTGTATTCTGACAGAAGAAGATATATAAAGATCAGATGGAATATATGTTACAGAATCATGTGTTCCCTCTCTTCAGTAGTGAGCTGGGTTACATGAGAGCACGGGTAAGAAAGTGGCTGATTTACTGTTAAGATACACCATCTTGTTCCAACTGAAAAATTCAGGAATATTCTAAGAGTTTAGTATACATCTTTGTATGTGATTATAGATGGCTACTGTGCATTTTCGAAATGGCTGCAGAATTGTGTGCATAGTTTTCCATCTGTGTCTGGTGGTACAGTCTGTTTGTGTTTTGCATTTAGACTGTACTGCTCACACAAAACCTGTGGCCAAAGATGAACTTGAGATCATAGTACTGGTCTAGTGACGTCTGAAAGACAAGCCTCCCACTGGCCAGCCTCCACTCTCTCAAACATCTTAATACTTTAAAAAGTTTACAGTCTCTATTCAGCAGTAGTTTTACTTCATATTTAATAATTTCTGTAGGTTGTGTGTATACGAGTAGTTGATAATCCTGTTGGTGAGTCTTGTAACTGAATTTGTTGAATGTCTTTTTTTCAGGCTTGTTGGGTTCTTCATTATTTTTGTGAAGTCAAATTTAAGAGTGACCAGAACCTCCAGACAGCTTTAGAACTCACAAGACGGTGTCTGATAGATGACAGGGAAATGCCTGTGAAAGTGGAAGCTGCAATAGCACTTCAAGTTCTGATCAGTAACCAAGAGAAAGGTAGCCCTCTTTTCTTAAAGCTCCAGCAAGCTTTGAAGGGAATAAGCATTAATATTATGATGTTCAGGAAGACTGGTTCTTTTCTTTCCTGATGTTAACTTACTTCTTGCAATTGTAATTTGTAATATTAATTGTATTTTTTCAGCTGGAAATTTGTATATTTTTGATAAATAAAATTACCACAATTTTAATGGTACAATCCAGTTTTCCAACACCTATTCACTGAATCAGAAATAGGGTGGCACTATGAGCATAACTATCTCAGCATATGTTCCTTTATGGTGAAATTCAGGGTGTTTTGTTTTTTTTCAAGTTCTCTTTATCCTGGCGGGCTTTATGTTGCTTAGCATTCTCGAAGCTGGCATATAGGCTACAAACCTGGGCTGATTGTGTATGTACCCATTCCTGTTCAATTAAAATTTGCATTGATAAGTCATCTTGCATTCCATAAAGGCTGTAGAACTCTGGTTTTCATATATCAGTTGTGATCCTCTTGGTATACATTTTTATTTAAAAAATTGTTTTGAGTGTTAGTATTGCTATAATTATGTGTACTACCTATGGTTTTGGCAGATGAATGCTGAAGCACTGAAGAGTAATAAAATATATAGAGACTTTTGTATACTGTAGTTTTGTAAGAATGCAGACTGAAATCTTTTCACTTGTGTTTCAGCTAAAGAATATATTACTCCATTCATCAGACCTGTAATGCAAGCTTTACTTCATATTATAAGAGAGACTGAAAATGATGATCTTACTAATGTGATTCAGAAGATGATCTGTGAATATAGTGAAGAAGTTACCCCAATTGCAGTAGAAATGACACAGCATTTGGTAAGAATTTCTGGTGACTTAGGAAGATGTTTAATATGCAGAAGACTGGTATTTTAAATTAAGAGAGTTGTCCATCAATCAGTAGCTGTTGTTACTCTGGTCAGCTTAAGTACATTGATACATAATTGTTTTTTTCTACATAGAGACAGTTTCTTCTCAAAAGTGCCTTCATAACTTGAACTAAATGGAAATTTCTTAAGAATGATTATTAATCAAGAGGTGTTTAAGAAATTGTATGTTTTTTCTTCTGATAGTGTTAATAATGATTTTTAATAGCACATTTTAGGTAGTCTCTATAATGTGACTTAGGTGTTTTCTGTTTTTAAATTGGGAATGAAAGAGCAGATTTTTAATTGAAAATTTGGTGTGAAAATAATGTTTTATGCAATGAGAAAATAAAGTTGAATCTGCAGTTCAGAGCTTGAATGGCCGCATATTGCAAGTTGTACTAGTGGTTTCAAAAGCTGAGATAAGCTTTGTGCGTCCTTATGATAAGGACATTGCTTTGGAGTTAGAACTGAATTGTTTGCATGTCCTCTCTGGGAATGCCTGCAAAGTGATCCAGTCTGCTTTAGCTGCCAGTTAAACCTTGTGTCAGAAAAACTTAGTTGTAGAAAATGTATTATTTTGCATGGAAAGTAATGTCATTTATATATCTTTATTGATGAATGGATAAAGGATGACTGCTTAAATGACTTAATATTCAAATATTTTATCAATCTTGAAAACAAACTCTGAAATGGAATGGTCACATTCTAATATTCATGTTTTCTTAGCAGAAGTCATCCTTAAAATTTTGTAGAATACCAGATTTGCACAATTGTTCTTCATCTCCAAGCATGTCCTCATTAAATGACATATTTATGCATTGTTTTGCTGTTGCACACAGGCAATGACATTTAACCAGGTCATTCAGACTGGACCGGATGAAGAGGGCAGTGATGACAAAGCAGTGACAGCAATGGGAATCTTGAATACCATTGATACACTTCTTAGTGTAGTTGAAGATCACAAGGAAGTAAGTAAAAATTACTACAAAGCTACTATGTATTGTCTAAGACACTGAAAGTCTTTTGTAGTTGCAGTGTTCCTGACATTTTTTCCTGAAAAACTTGTCCTTTCAGCCAAAAATACCTTAAAACAGAAAACAGTGAAGTACTTCCCATGCAACAAAGTTGTAACAGAGTAGGTCACATTTCTAACACAATAGGTGGAGTAATAGAGCATAAGTGTTGCCACAGTGTTTTCCATAAGAATCCACGTTCTTGTTCAAATAGGTGGAAGCAACTTGTCTCTAACAGATGGAACTTGTGTCAGCTCAGCTGGAAAAACCCATCTGATTTGATGAGGTCTGCCCTTCAAAGAAAACAGATAAAACTTGTTAGCTTTGAACATCAACTCTGCTGACTTAATTTGCTCTCTGCAAAAAAAAATCAATGTCTGTAAATACAGCTGTTGTAGCTGTGTTTATTGATTTTATTTATTTTTACCTGCCTAATCTGCACAGTAGAATTCTGCAGTGTGATGACAGTTTTTGTTACTTAGTTTGAATGCACTAACTTCTGTCCAGAGTACAACTCGTTCAAAAGATGCTGTTGCTGATTAAAATCCTTCTTGACTAAGTCAGATACTGTTTTCTGAAAAATAAATGAGAGTTTTTTAGTGCTTGAACAGATAAATTGTAATCTCAGGGCTCTGATAAGGAAGCAGTATAACACAAATTTCAAATGCCCAAGGTTGGAATCCACTGCTGCCATGCAGTGATGTAAGGACCAGTTTGGCTCATTTACTTGGTAGAAATGCTCAGTACTGTTGTTGTTTTCTTCATGTACTGTTTAGTGTCAGCAAATTCTTGCTATCTAAATGAAAAGTTTGTGTAGCAGGATGCTAATCCTGAGGAACTCACATGTAAACATTGATCAGTAAACATTTCTATTTAGAGACATCTCACACAGGGTGACCAGTGTGAGGAAATAAGGTATTTAACCAGTTAGTTTCAAATCCTGGTCTGTCTAGCTAAGACCAGAAACTCAACCTCATTTGTCTCAGTGCAGGGTGTGTGCCCTAAGCAGGTTAATGACTGATTTGCTACCTGTTCCATGGACTAAAAAAATCTAATAGGGAAAAGTATCTGAATCTGTAGACCAGCATTTAGACTGATTGTCCACCTACCATATGAACATCCTGAGCTAGGATGGGAAGTGGTTTAGTATTTACTTGTTTATTTTGTTTGTTGTGACGTTACTTTTCTGGAACACATAATGCTTCCAGCAACTTACGTTGCTTACCCATTTGATATATTACATTTACTTACTGTGTTTTGATGGGACTGAACTGTTGCATAGAGTTACAGTCAGGCTTTTCTTTTTAAAGGATACTCTATCATGAGGTTATTCCAATAGAATGTTTCAAAAATGCCTTGTATTAAAAGCTGTCTTACATATCCTTAGCTAGGAGTTCTACTTTTACACATGTGATGCTGTCGAATGTGAGCAATTTTAAATTGTTTTTAGAAGATTATATTGTATAAATAGAATCTGCTTTTAGTAATTTTATTTTAAAACGTGTTTAATTTCAACTCCAAAGTATTGAAAAAAGTCATAAATCTCCCTTTTTTTTTTTTTTTTTTTCCAGATTACCCAGCAGCTGGAAGGGATCTGTTTGCAAGTCATTGGAACAGTTTTGCAGCAACATGTATTAGGTATCTGTACTTTTGTTGGCTTATTTTTTTAAGTTTATAGGATTGACATTAAATTTACCTAGATTCTGTTTGTTTTAGAGTTCTATGAGGAGATCTTTTCCTTGGCTCATAGTCTGACCTGTCAGCAAGTTTCTGCACAGATGTGGCAGCTTCTTCCTCTTGTTTTTGAAGTCTTTCAGCAGGTTGATTATTTTACTGGTAAGTAACAAAAATCAATCAGAAAGCCAGTTGGTTTCATACATATAATTTCAACCATATAGTGAATTCTGTCTTGATTGAAATGTTAGGAGACCACTTTAATGAGGTTATGCTTTAAGTGTTTTATTCTACTGTTGCTGCAACCAGACTTGTTTTGCTAAGGCGTCTATGACTAGATGCTTGTTTATATTGACAAACATTAAGTAAGAACTGTAATTAACTTATTAATACATAGAATTCAACCTGATTTTAACAGGTTGTCTAATAAAACATGCAAACAGTATCTAACTGTGGTCATTCTTCTTTTAATACAGACATGATGCCTCTCTTGCATAATTATGTTACTGTTGATACAGATACGCTTCTGTCAGACACAAAGTATCTTGAAATGATCTACAGCATGTGCAAGAAGGTAAGCAGCCTCCTTGGTGATCACAAAACCTGTGATCTCTGAAGTAATTCACTGTTAAACTGAGTACTTTTTTCCAGAACAGCAGACTGAAACTGCAGAATTTTGATGTCTGCTCTTAAAGCATGATGCTATTTAATGTCCTCTGTGATTCCACAAATTATTGCGGAGAAATTTAAAGGTCACCTAAAATTTCAGATACACCCTTTTGCTAAAAGGTAAAATTAAATGGTACACAACAAAAGCAGATTAAATGATCCAGGTCTTGTGCACGGGTGCACGCAGGCATGCAAACCACACATAACTACATTGCAAATGGTAGATGGTTTCTTTTTTCCTGAGATTTGTAGCCTCACCATGGCTAAGTGAGGTTACCACATAACCATAGGTACACTGAAGGTCTTAAATCTGTTACCTAAAACCAGTAGAGTATGGGTGGAAAGTAGAGGGATAGGAATAGTTATTTTGCCAACTTCATGCCAAGCCAGTGATGAAAGCTGGGAGCAGAATGCAGTTCTCACTCAGTCCAGTCACTTCTAGGCAGTGTTTCTCTCTTTAACTTAGCTTCTCGGTTCCTGTATCTTAGAGGTAGCTGTCAACCAGGCTTTCTTTATCCAGTCAATATGTAGAATACCAAGCTTTCCAGAATGTTAGCCCTGTGTGAGGAAATAAATACTCCTTTATAAGGTGGTGTCAATGTTTTATAATCTCTTAAGAGTAATGTGTGGTGATCTCAGTTTTCCACTTCTGGGTATTGTATGTTGTATCAATAGAAGAACTATGGTGAACTCTAAGCTGCCCTATCTGTGGTATTTCTTGACTAGTTCTTTTGAAGATGTTTAAATATTATAGTGAATATTTCTTGCCAACCTCTATTTGAAAACAAGTTGCAACCAGGCTGATGAGGCTGATTGTAAATACTTGAATATTTTATAGATATGTAAAAAGAAAACTATAACCTCATAGTAATTGGTGTTTTATTAGCTTAGCACAGTGAATCTTTCTCACTGCATATCCCAAAATTCAGTACATGAATGCCTATGAATTTTTTTTGCTTTGTATATGGAAATAAACCTTTGAAAATTGCAGTTTATGGTTATAAAGTCACTGTTATTGCTCTGCATCCATGGAGTTATTTGTACTCTTGTATTAGTTTTACCCACATTCACCAATGTTTCAGTCTTTAGTTGTGATACTGAGCCATTGCTGTAGATTTGGCTGCTTCACTGATGGATGTTTTTGCTTGGATTGTAATGGAGTGGGGACACTGATATCAGCTTTTCGATGCAAAGCAGTATATGGAAAATAATTCTTGAAGTGACCAACAGTAATTGTTATTTTTCAGGTCCTCACAGGAGTTGCTGGAGAAGATGCAGAATGTCATGCAGCAAAGCTGTTAGAAGTAATTATTCTTCAGTGTAAAGGACGTGGCATTGATCAGGTTGGTAACAACTTTAGTTGCTATAACTAATATTTAAAAGCTTATTTTCAAATGTGAATTGGTTATGTATTAACATGAGTTCTGAGAAGTCTGTGCAGTGTGACTAATCCTGACTTCTACTTCAGTGTTACTCAATTAACAGCCCTGCAGGGATAGTTATTGCACACTTTGTCTCCAGAGTTTAAGACACTATAAAACTTGTGTTTTTGTGAATCTGAAAGGGTACCGTTTTAGGAGCATCTTGGTTCTGAAAGTCATTTAGTTATATTCTAAGTTAATTCTAGTGAATATTTCATTTAAATTATTCACTCTGTCTTGTTAATAGCCTTGAAGTAAATAAGAATGAAAATTAAGTTCCTGGAGTCCCAATTAATGTCATAGAGGAACCACAGACTTCATTATGCACCTATGGTAGCTGGAATTTGAGAGATGAATTTGTGTGTTTCTGCTGTGCATATAGCAAGCACTTTATAACAGCTGTTTAAATAATTTTTGTATGCTTATTAATAATTGGGGATATGGTTCCTGGAAACTTCAGTTTTTAATTTATTGACAGGAAAGTGTGACATCTGCAATGAGACAACTACTTTGAATAGCTGTTTTTCTTGAGATGTCAGTAATATCTCTTGACTTTGCGGATATTAAAAAAAACAAAATTGATATTTCTGGACTTCCTTGTGTACACATTTCCTCTATTTTGATATTTTTAAATCATAAGATTATAGAACAAGGAGTTATACCTACTGTGCATGATGTCACAAAACCCCTATGCTCAAAGTAGATAAAAATCTTTTCACCTTTTTATTTCATCTTCATATATGACTTATGCTGGCAATTAAAAATGGTTCCCATTTTATGCCTTCTGTATTTAGGTGCCAGACTGGCTTTATGCCATTTCTCAATTTTGGTATGAAATACAGAACTACAAAATTTGTGATCACTGTGTAATGTTTCTCACTCTTCAGTGCATACCCTTGTTTGTGGAAGCTGCGTTGGAAAGATTGACAAGAGAAGTGAAAACAAGTGAACTGCGAACAATGTGCCTCCAGGTTGCCATAGCTGCTTTGTATTACAATCCTCACTTACTACTAAATACATTGGAAAACCTTCGTTTCCCCAATAATGTGGAGCCTGTCACTAATCACTTCATAACACAGTGGCTTAATGATGTGGACTGTTTCTTGGGGTAAGTGTTTCTGCTTTTTCTCCGTGTTAAACCTCTGTTACCTGCTTGTGAATTGGAACAAAACTGGCAACTTTTGAATTCTTCTGTTTTCTAGACTGCACGACAGAAAGATGTGTGTGCTTGGCTTGTGTGCTCTTATTGATCTGGAGCAAATACCACAGGTTTTAAATCAAGTTGCTGGCCAGATCCTGCCAGCTTTTATCCTTTTATTTAATGGATTGAAAAGAGCATATGCCTGTCATGCGGAGCATGAAAATGACAGCGATGATGATGATGAAGCTGAAGAAGATGAGGAAACAGGTATGGAAACTGAAATATTGCTGTTGCTTTGTATTTTACCTTTTTTCTGTTGGAAAATCCTAGTTCCAGTGTGGAACTCTGAAGTGTGCCCTAATTCCAAACATCAAAAGCTGTGGTACAGTACTGGACATCTTTTAACAAGTTTCAAGTATGTCTGACTTAGTATCCAGTCCCTCTTAAAATAACTTCCTAGGCTGAGTCTCTTTGAAGTCACATCAAGCTAGCTTTTGTGTGTGGATGCTCTCATTGCTGAAAATAATTATTTCTAGGGCGTTTCCCATTTGAGTGAGGGATAAGTGTCACTAGAAGGAGTTTCCAGGAATCCTTCTAATCCATTGTACAGTTTGGACTAACAATATTAAAAATGGCCCCATCAGCTGCTGGTGGTTTAGCTGTGTCTTGAGAATGAGTTCTTGTGATTTTTTGTTTGTTTTTTTTTCTTTCCCCTGGACTGATGTAATCTCAATTTCATCAGCCTTTCTAGATGCTTCTTCATACAGACATTTCACAAACTTTTTTTCACATCTTTTGCCATCTTTATGTGAAGTTCAGAATTACCAACAGCTTTCCCTGTACTTCCTCCTTTCACTATACTCTGCCTAAGCTTTTAGTTCTTGTTCCCAATTTTCTTTCCATCATCACTCTCATGTTTTTGTGAGTGATTATTTGGAATAGTTTTCCACACTCAAAGGAGTATCTCTTGGTTTTCATCTGTCTACTTAAAACCCAGTTTCTTTTTGATCTCTGCTGTTGACAATTGTCTAGAGTCCAGAATTCACTATATGTCATTCATGCTACTACATTTTGTATTTATTAAGCATTCTTTTCAACAGCTCCTTTGAATGTGTCTTTTAAAGTGTTTTTATCACATTATTTCAAACTTTCTTTGGAGCACAAGTATTCTTTGCTAAGTTGAAAGTTTTGCCAAGTGCTGTTCCAAACTATTGTATATATGTTTTATTATATATGTATTTTTGTGAAAATGAAATTTGCCTTTACACAGTTGGTGTGAGGGAAGAGTGTCTGGGGGGACGAGACCATAGCACTAGGAGAGGAGTTAAAGGGCTTCCCCCTTTCTAGTCTGCACTATACTGTTATCAGTTGCATTGCTTGTTTTGCATAATCACCTACCTAAAGTGTTGTTTTTAATGTTCTTGAGATAATATTTTGTGTGTGTGTAATATTTAACTCAGAGGAATTGGGGAGTGATGAAGATGACATAGATGAAGATGGTCAAGAATATCTAGAAATTCTAGCAAAACAGGCAGGTGAAGATGGAGATGATGAAGACTGGGAAGAAGATGATGCTGAAGAGACTGCTTTGGAAGGCTATTCCACAATTATTGATGATGAAGACAACCCTATTGATGAATATCAGATATTTAAAACAATTTTTCAGAGTAAGTAACTTTATTTCATTTCCTAGCCAACAAGTTATATTGTAAATTTAGTGTATGCCATACACTAGTGTACACCATCAACTAGAACCTTTGGAAAGCTTCCAAGCAGGCTTTTCAGTATGTGCTTTGAACAAGTTCTTTATTTGGAAAGGGGAAGCCAACATTAAGCTTTCAGAGCTTGAATCAATATATGGTAGAAGACATCATAGGCTGCATTAGTGCTTTTACGTGTCTTAAATTATGTAACCCTAGCAGAATGTTATTCTGATTTCAAACAGCAGTGAATTAGTAAGGTTTATGTTAGGTAATGTTTTAATGAACACTTTCCTTTGGCTTGTGTTTCCTTTCTTGTGCAGCAATTCAGAATCGTAACCCTGTGTGGTACCAAACCTTGACACAGGGTCTTAATGAAGAACAAAGAAAACAATTGCAAGACATAGCAACTCTGGCAGATCAGAGACGGGCAGCACATGGTATTTTTCTTCCTTTATACTATTAATTGCTTCTTTCACTGTTTGGATGCTGTTTGTGTTTTAAAAAGCATAATACAGAAAATACCTATAAATCAAGCTTGATAACATCTTCATCAAGGCAGGGTTGTTTTACACTCCAGCAATGTTTGAACTCATTTTAAGGTTGTCAGGTCACAGAGCCTTAATGCACAAAATTGATGGCATATCCCAGGTGTAAGAAATGATAGAAACAACTTAATGAAGTGACCAAGTAAATCATATTTGTCATAATTGCTTTAACCTGAAAACAGTTGATTACCTGAAGGTGAATGAACTCTATGGTAACAAACACATTAAGTGGCTGACAAATTATTTCCCCATGTGACCTAGTCCAGCTGGGATAGACAGTGATACTAGGGGTGGGAAAATACCAAATTACCAAAGCAGTATCCATCTTTAAAGCTACATTATTAAGCATATTAAATATTTTAGATTGAAGAATAGCAACACATAATACAAATTTTAAAATATAGGAAGTAGGCAGATCCTCAGTTTTAGGTTTTTTTGCAAATTTTCCTAGGTGTTTAAGGGTAATCCTAAACACATCACTTTCTAAAGTCAAGGCTGAACTTTGATTTATCAGTCCAGTCTCGTATCCTGCATCATATTCAGCAATTATTACAAGATGTTTCAAAACAGAAGTACCCAAAATTCTAAATAAAAAGATTGGTAGTAAGGATGTTCATTTTATAAGTAGCTTTTGTTAGAAAACAGCCTAAATTACCTTACAAAGCTTGTAAGTGTCTGTCCAGAATGGTCCACTTTTTAAAATGGGAACAAAATACTGTTTCACTGTGACGCATGTCAAGCACTGGACATTATACTGATGAGATTATACCCCACTGGAGCTTTTTATGAGAAGAATGTTCTGTGAGGTGTTTTTTTCAGCTGCTTATTCATAGAGCAACTTAGATTCAGGTTTTGAAGTTTTACTGAGGCAACCAGATCCTTACAGGGAATTCTTGCATACTCCATTTAGGCTACCTACCACACATGGGGACGTTTTCCTGGCCTGTTTCCAAAGAAACAGACAAAACACAGATGCCTTTGATACTAAAAGTTGTCCTGTATTCCCAAAAAGAGAGAGTTTCCAATTATTTTGAGGTAGGAGAAAGCTCTTAGATTGGAAGTAAGACACTAATAAGCATTGTTATCTTAAGCTGGGAATAATATAAACCTTCTTCTGCATTATCTAGATGGTAGTAAAGGTAGAGAAATACACATTTCTATCTGCTCTTTACCAACCTTATTTTCAGTTGTTCATGTATTAGGGTTTGTAACAACCAGTCTTGCAGTAATCTTCAAAGGATGGAATATGCAGCAAGTAAAACCAGGCAGCTTAACTATCACTGTTAGTTATGCTGGTGGATATGTGGTCCTCAGATGCCCAAAGATCTTAAGATGTGATTGAAAATGGAAAGTGGTAGTTTCCTCGCCAAATTACAGTACATTATTGGTGGCAAGGGGCACAATACATGTATACTAAAAAGTCTGTTTCTGGTGCTTCAGTGGCTATTTATTCTTATTTGTTGAATTGAGGAACACATAAAATTTAGCTAATGTCTGTGTACTGCCTTTTTTGTACATGTGCTCTGTTACTGATTTGACCAAAAAGTTTATTAATGTTAATCAGAAAGAATGGGGCACCTTTTAGCAAGTCCAGCATTCGTTGAGGTCCTGTTTCTGAAATGTGAAAATTACATACTCATGTCCAAAATCTAAAGAGCAGGCTTTTTAAAATATAAATTAAATTAAGCAGGTCTATAACAATAGTGAGAAATTTAAATAAAGAATCAATCCATCTGTTGTGTGGGGCCTGGTACATTTCTACTTTGTGGGTGCTAATTACTTTCTTGGGTAGTGCCAGGTTAAACCTGTATATGTCTGAGAGACTCAAAATGGTCAGTGACAAATTCTTAATCTCTCTTCTCCCCTACCCACACTAAAATATCTTCCTTCTGTTTTGTTTTGTTTGTTTTGTTTTAGAATCCAAAATGATTGAAAAGCATGGAGGATACAAATTCAATGCTCCAGTTGTGCCAACTTCATTTAATTTTGGAGGCCCTGCCCCGGGAATGAATTGAATTATCACTTTTCCTGCTACTGTGTGATTGTAGTGAAGAGCTTGTGTTCCTCCCAATAGTGGTTCCAGAACTGGTTCATGTTACCTACAACTCACTCTAAACTAATTGATAAATAGATTGAACAAAAGCCCCAGAAGTGGGACCTGATCGTGCAACCTAATACTGGAAAGCAAACCAGAGGGGTTTTTTTTGAAGATAGGAAGAATCTGAATTTAAAGCTTCAAATGACACACTTGGAAATCGGAAATCAAGAGGGGATGACATGAAGGCAGCTTTTCTTTTTTCTGAGGAAAAAAATAGGCATGGGCTGCAGGACTATCTACAATGTCTCATTTACAGGACAAACTAGATGGCAGACTTGATTTTTACACCTGTGGCGGTATGAGTATTTGCCCAGTTTATTTCCCTTTTCTCCCTTCCTATTGGGTGTCTATTCTTTTAATGTAAATAAGATAAGGTAATCAGATAGCCTTACTTAATCTTCATCATTTCCATTTATCAAGATTGTTCATATGTAGAATATTGGACACTTAATGTAGCACTACATAACTGATAAATCTGTAAATGAATTAGCACTTTCATATTGAAACAAGCCTGCTAGCCTATGTACAAAAATAGCAAAATGTTTGCTGTTTATAAAAAAATAAAAATAAAAAATAAGGGATATATTGGGGAAAATAATTTCAGGTTATTAATTTAAAATGAACTAGCAGTTTTGTACCTGGTGACTTTGTGGTGCAGTCACCTCTGGTTGTGACTTGAATTCGGTTATGTAAAAAGGGGTTAGTGGTATTTCATTGCTGCTAAAAGAAAAAATAGCAACACCCTCTGTGTCCTTTCTTTTTCTTAAAGATCTCACTGTACAAGGTAAAATTTGAATACAAATGTGTACTGTAAGCACTGAGGAAAAAATGACCTTTACAAAAGCAGGTACATAAGATGTGAAGTTCTGCTCTTAAGAGTAGATTGAAGTGTGTGGATGAAACATCTATATATGCAACCTGTTAAAAACATAATTTAATTTGGCTAATCTGGGCTATAGTCTATAAATTTTTTCCCCTAATTTTGTGAAATACTCTTTTTTCCAGCACGTGGTGGTGCAGGTGCACCACTCTTGCATTTCATTCCCCCTCTTTTTGCACTCCCAGCATTAGTGTGTGCTGTTGTCTGCCTGATCCAGACAGTATATTTGAAGTGTTGCCAATCTTTCATTTTTGAAGCCACAGTTTTCTTCCTTCAAAGTTGCTATAGTAACTAGTATTTTAGCTAGAGAGGCAAAATACAGTTCCCTCTGGGACCACTATCAAAACCACTGTATGAAGCAGCCAGCAGGGAGATGCTGTGAATGGGTTGGCTTAAATGCCGCCTTTTTCTTTTCTAAAAGCAAAAATCCATAGTTTTTGATCTTCCCTTGAGATCATTGGTGTCAGGTCTTTTAAATCAAATGTTTGTTTGTTTTTTCTTTTGGCTGTTTTTATATAAAAAATGTCACCTGCTGTTACAATTGATATTAAACAAGCTACCTTAATTTAATGTAAGCCTCCAAAATTTAAATACAGGTTAAAAATAAACTGAGTTTATATCTGTAAAAATGAAATGCACATATATATATTATGATACTCAAAATGCAGTCTTCAGAAAATTGGTTTGTGTGGTGTGGTTTTTTGCATCAGCAGAGTAGCAGGTACTTGTGGTTTGGGGTTTCCATGACGAGCTGACCAGCGCCATGCTTTGCCTTCCATTTGTTGCACAACCGCTAGCGCTGCTTTGAGCAGGTGCAGTGGGTTTTTCCAGGCACTCCTCTCTGGTTTGCCTTTCTTCGGCAAATACAATTCCCTGCACACAGAGTGCTGATGGGAGAGACTGAGCCAGGACTATTAACGCCACGTTGCCCTAGCCGAATACCAAAGGGATACTTTAAAAGCAAATTGCGGACTGAAAAGGATGGATGTTGCACCTGATGTGAAAAAGCCTGAAAAATTAAGCCTTGAGTCAGAGTATCCATTATAGTAGTGGTATGAAAACCACAGTAGTACTTCTGAATCTTTAGCTGACTGGCCAAGTACATATAGCAGAACTGGTGGGTTTTTTAAACGTGTTACTCATGAGCACGTACAGGTGTACTCCGGCCTCAAGATAATCTCTAGACAAGGTTTTATTTTTTTAGAAAAAGGTGACAGACATAATTACAGCATGCCTTTTCCTGTGCATTCCTTGACCTTGAAAAATGCCCAGTTTGACATAAATAATTCCTGAATATCTGTTTATTGGCTGTCTGCTTATCTCGTTACGTTATGCATCCCCCAAAAAACGTTAAGAGAACCTTTTAGGACAGATTAGATACTTCTGCCTTGTGGCTGAAGAGACAACAGAGCAGCAGTGAGAAGGTTCTATACACAAAGCAGATTTAAAAAAAAATAATTAGGGGAAAAATCACCTATTTAGTGCCATTGTCATTTCTGGAAGTTATATTTTTCAAGTCACAAGTCAAGGGAAGAATTTTATCTTAGTGTGAAGAATACAGTCTTACTTCAAGGGTGCTTTTATGTGTCACTAGACTGATTAGCAAGGAGCATCTTTTTTAAGAATGGATCTAGAACTTTGCTTTCCTTTGCTCCAAGAAATGTATTTATATAAATTGCAAAACAATTTGGCATTGTTGTTGGTGGTGATAGTGCATTTTGTGATGCAATATATCAATTTCAGTGATACACTTATGTCAGATTTAAAATTGATCTTCCTCCTAGAACTTGCGCTTACCCATTCCATTTTCAGGGATAATGCAACTCTAAAGGAAGAGCTGGGAAATTTAAAGCCTCTGTTTTTTCTATTATGGAAGATCTCCTTGGATTAATAAACATCTAAAGCAAATCCTTATCTTCACTTATTTCGTTGTGGTGTTTTGAATGTACCTGTATTCTTGCAGTACTTGGGAGTCCCGATCTAGTTACATAGCTCTAAGGTTTGTATTTTCCTCTCAAATATTCCTTCAAGCAGAAAGCCTTTGATACTGTTCCCCACAGCACTGTCATGGAAAAACTGGCTGCCCTAGGCCTGGACAGGTGTATGCTCTTCTGGATCAAACGCTGCCTAGATGGCTGGTCCCAGAGAGTGGTGGTGAATGGAATTAAATCCAGCTGGTGGCCGGTCACAAGTGGTGCTTCCCAGGGCTCAGTGCTGGGGCCAGTTCTGTTTAATGCCTTTATCAACAGCCTGGATGAGGAGAGTGAGAGCACCCTCTGAGGTTGCAGATGATACCAAGTTAGGTGGGAGTGTTGATGTACCTTAGGGCTCTGCTCTTCAGAAGGACCTGAGCAGGCTGGATTCATGGGCTGAGGCCAGTCCTAAGGACTTCAACAAGGCCCAGTGCTGGGTCCTGCGCTTGAGCTACAACAATCTCATGCAATGCTCCAGGCTTGGGCAAGAGTGGTGGAAAGCTGCTTGGCAGAAAGAGACCTGGGGGTCTCAACAGTGGCTGAACATGAGCCAGCAGTCTGACCAAGGCCAACAGCATCCTGATCTGCATCAGGAGTAGTGTGGCCAGCAGATGTAGAGAGGTGTCCCCCTCTACTCAGCACTGGTGAGGCTGCACCTTGAGTAGTGTGTTCAGTTCTGGGCACCAGAGTATAAGAAAGATATTGAGGTGCTGGAGCAGGTATGGAGAAGGCAACAAAGCTGGTGAACGGTCTCAGTAAGTCTTACAAGGAGTGGCTGAGGGAGCTGGGGCTATTTATTAGGGGAGACCTTATTGCTCTCTGCAACTACCAGAAAGGAGATTGAAGAAAGGCAAGGGCCGGTCTCTTTTCACATTTAAGAAGTGATAGGATGAGGAAACAGTCTCAAGTTGCACCAGGGGAGGCTTAGGCAGGATATTGGGAAAAATGTCTTCACAGAAAGGGTTGTCAAACACTGAAACAGGCTGTCCAGGGAAGTGACGGTGTCACCATCCTTAGATATGTTTAGAAGTTGTGTAGGCACATGATTTAGCAGTTGACTTGGTAAAATTAATGGTTGGACTTGATGATCTTAAAGGGCTTTTCCAATCTAGACAATTCTATGATTAGGCACAACCACAGTTCTCTTAACTGTGTCAAACACAAAAGGCCTGTCATACACTATTTTTAAAAATGCTGGGTAAATGGCAATACCCTTTTTTTCCTAAATCACTATCTTAAAACAATTAATGCAGCAAAGCTGTGTTCAGTAGCCTAGATTCAAGAAGTTTGCATTGGATTAATTACAGAATACCCAGTAAACATGCAGATGGTTCTAATTGTGTTGAGTAGTTGATACCTGCTAAGTTTTACGGGTTAAGTTGTATTTTCCTAAAGGAAATTTCCTCCTCTTTCAAGTATCAGTTCTTGAAAAGTAGAAACATCATGTAGCTTCTCAGCACATTTTATCTTTACCCATTTCTGCCAAGTTCTGTTTCAGTCATTTCTCATCTGTACTTTCTCTCGCTACCCCTTTTCACTTTGTCTTCCTGTAACTCCCTGGAGATGCTGCTCAGAAACTGTAAGCACCCAGTTCAAACTGTACCAGTTCACACTAGGCAGCCACCCCCTGCTGCTGCTCGGTGTGGACACCCAGGTGCACCACTGGGTGCTTCTCTGGAGCCAGCAGCACAGGCACAGCTCCTCCCTGCGTGCTGCAGGCTGCCCAGGAAATGTGCTTCCAAAGTCGCATTGTCCAGGTAGGAGCTTTGATTTAACAGGCCACATTCAGTTAATGCTGGTCCACCAAGCCTTGTATGTTGGTTAAGACTTTACCAGTCTACCATGACTTTGGCTACTAACTTAGTTTTTATCTTTAGTGTATGATGAGCAGTGGATGAAAGCAGCTGCTGAAAATCTATGCAGAAATCAGCATTTTGTTTATCTCTAAGAGCGTACCTGGGAAAAGCACTACAGTTACGCATTTCTGCTCAATCTGCTATTCAAGTTTTAACTTGAATGCAGAGACAGGAAAAAATTATCAAAATTTGAGAAAAGCTTGGAAGGTTCAAGCCTCTATTCTGCTGTTACTGAGAATGCCAGAGCTGAGCCCCTTAAGATAGGTTTTTCTCTTCCCTGTGGTCTGTGGGAACTTCCACATACCCAGAAGTAGGAGCATGGAAGAGCTTTGTTTGTCTGGTGTTGTAGCACCGATTATAAATTACTTTGCAATTAAAAGGTAGCTTATTTAAGTGGTGTGTCACTGGTTTGCACGTATCTGCTTTTTATAATTAGACATTCTCAGACCTTGATGCTAGAAAGTACATCAGAATGGGAAATGCCAAGTTGTAGGATTTGACAGATATTAACAAGTAATCCATTTACATATAGGAGTAGGTAAACCCAAAACAATCTACCTGGGATTATCAGTGTTACTGTACCTCAAATCAAAATGATGGCTGTATGTTGAGTGAAAGTTACCAACTATGTGAAGGAAAACTTGAAACAAAGAAAGGAAAACTACTCTGTATACAGGCCTATTCAGGAATAAGCTATTTGGGGCTGTCTTGTATGACTGACAGCCTTTACAACTATTGTTCTAAAGTTTCAGTAAAAAAAATCGTATATGTTAATACATGCAGAAAGGGTCAAGTCAGTCCTACAGATCTGGGCTGATCCTGTCAATGATGATTGCTCATATTAATTGCACGGTTCAGTTTTCTTGAAAAGTCACCTGCCAAAAACAACTGTCATACCCTTTCCTTGTCTGTGGAGCTGTTTTTGGACTATTATGTTTCCATACAAAAAAAAACAAACACGTAAGGATAAATCATGTAAAGCTCAGTTTTCAAACGAGAGTCCTTATGGACAAGACCTGGGCTGAAGCGCCGGAAGTGAAGGAAACTGGGGCCGGCGCGGGTGCTGGCTCGGCAGGGCCGGGTGCCGGGTGCTGGCTCGGCAGGGCCGGGTGCTGGCTCGGCAGGGCCGGGTGCTGGCTCGGCAGGGCCGGGT